GCTTCGGACGATGTGAGCGGTATTCTCCGTCGTTGTTCACATATTTAGTTAAATCTACTGAAGAGAATATTGAGAAAGATCGATGATTATATGCAAATGTGAGTATGTTAATTCATACAGTGACGTAAAAGAAATATATGCAGGAAATTTCGTTTTTGCATGATCAGAATAGAAAATATTAATTGTAAATTTTTATAAATGAACAATCGAATGAGAAAAATCAACTATTTATCTTTCGAATTTATTCAATTAAAACTACTAGATTTAATTTATTCAAATACATACTTTTATGATAAAGCTATTTTTAATATGAACAATAAGATTTTAATCAAAATTTTTGAGATGTTCAAAAATTATATTTAAGAAAAAAAATTTGAAAAAAAATTTTACCTTTGATTGTTTATCAATAATAATCAAAATTGACACTTTAATATGAAAAATTTTCTTGATTTGTATTTAAAAATTGTTATGTTATATTTTCATATAAATCAAAATCAGCATCATTCAAGAAGATCAAGCACTAATCTAACAATAAAAAAACATTTCATTTCATTTAATAAAATAAGTATTATCTTTATTTTACAAAACACTATTTTGTTTTTTAAGCCATACAGTAAAATTACACCAGACTAATCTGATATTATTACATCCTGTATAGCAAGGATTAAGTACTACATATATGTGTATCTGTTTAACACAAAAAGAAAACGTTTGAACATAAAATATACAATGACTAAATAGATACTTTAGTACTAATCAGAAGTCAAAACGAGGCAAGGCTGTAGATCGAGGACTATTTTTCTCGGTGCAGGAGGAGATTACGGCTAGGCAAAGTTAATTAGCATTTCACATATACTCAATACCATGCGGTTCAATTGTTGTCGAAAGAGAATTTTCGACAGCAGGTCAAGTTGTTAATTAAAGAAGAATCTAGGTTAGATCTAACAACTATGAATAATATTTTATTTCTTCATTTGATAGAGAATAACAAAGTAAAAGATTGATTGCTATCCAGCTGCATCGTTTTTATGCTCCTATGTCTATTTGTTTGCAATATGTAATCAAATAAATCATATGATCAAAAGGTACACACATTTTATAAAGATATGACGAGAAACCGAAGAAAAAAATTAAGGCCGGGATGGGATGAAGCGAGATGGGAAAGTTGTTTTTCGAAGCGGAGAACAAAATATTCTCTCGGTTTTGGCCTTCGGTACTAACAAGGTAATGCAGCATGATATCGTTTGTTATAAGTATATGACAAATGATGATTTAATGTAAATGGACAATTTATATATATATATCGTATCCATATATAATACCACAATAATCATAATAGTGTTTAATGTTTTCTTAATTTGTTATTGTATCAATCATTACTCATCGTCATGAGTACAACTTTGTTTTTTTTAGTGAGTAGTGAATGCTATCGACCTGTATCTTTCCATTCGTGAAATAATGCATTGTGTAATAGACAGATGCGTTTTTCTGCTCGAATATGGATAACTAAGTAGTATCTGTACTAATCCATAACGTCCTAAATTTTGAAATGGTTCTTTATTTTTTGTATATATTGTGAATGTTACATTTCATTAGCTTATATATATATATATATATATACAGTACTTAACCGCTGTTATACTAGCATATAATCATATTAAACTGATGTTGTATAGTTTTACTACAAAACTTAAAAGTCAAAAATAGTGCAAGATTTTTGATGTAGATGTTAGCTCTGTAATAGGGGATGATCTTACTGAGCTGAACTTCTCTGTATATATATAAAATATAGCTTACATATATAAATCGATATGAAGCTGTTGGATGATATATATATATATATATTTAATCAAACAAGAAAAATATAATAATATCAAAGATGATAACGATCAGCAGTAACAACAAAAAACGAACGAAAAAACATACATATATATATAAATATATACATGTGCGTAATATCAACTAGCTCACTCACGTGAGCTGTGTTTTCCAATCGATTGCGCAACAGAACGAAAATAAATAGAGCGGAACACTGTAGATGATAACCAACGACATCTACAGGCGCTCACAGTAGACTGTATATTAATTCAACCTGTTTCAATTGCAATATTAATCGCTTATATGTATAAAAACATGTTTATCCAAAGTGAAAAGATACTAAATTAAACTATTTTATATTTTGTATCATCAAAACATCTTTGAAAAATTCAATTAACAGTACCTTTAATTCATTGATTAATTTGTATATGTGAAGAACTTTTTGATTGAATTTTTTCCACGTATAATTTAATATATCTATCAATACAATGAACTAACAAACTAAAGTAGTAAGTTGTTTTTTTAAAAGATTTTCCACTGATTGATAATTGTTTCAATACATTCAGGTTTATCATTAACATGAAATAAATCTCCAGGTTCAAGTATATATGTTAAAACATTATCAAATGATAATAAACTTAAGATGAAACAAGTATAATTAATTTTTGATATTTAAATGTTTCATCTTCATAAAGTGATTCTCTAGAAATTTGATTGAATAGACATAAACTTTTAATATTGAGCAGTATATTTCTATTCAAACTATGTCAACCATTGAATTAAATTGATAAAATGGATGAATCAAACTTTTTTCTGCATTCTCATTAAGTAAAGTTAAAATATCATCTAAGAAAAGAAACATATTTCATCTTAATTAATGAATTATTTTGTTTTTTTACTAGTAGAAATAATTAATAATTGATTTACGAAAGTATTTCAAAAAAAACGTCGACATAGAAAATGGTAGGAAGTAAAAAATTGAAATTGTATAAATAAGCTAGTCAGCCAATGATGAAATCAATCATAAGTGCGACATCCATAGGGAACAGATGATGCTAGATGCTTTTTAAAAACTTTCTTAAATAGGATTTTCTTTTTGAATAAAAAGTTGATTAATTCTTGAAAGAAGAAATCGAAGGACAAACTTCACTTCCGATCGGTGGAACTATTATAGCACATTTAGTTAGACTTGAATCAACAATTGATAGAACACTTGCTATTAAAGAATGAGGATTATTTGGTTATGATTCGACTTGTTAATAACATATATCGAATTGAAATTCTTTTAATTTCAGTAAGTAAACAAGATTTATGAGTTAAACTTGAAAAATTTATTCGAGTTTAGTATATTATTACAACATACTTTGCTGTGATCTTGGATATTGCAATGGATACAGTGGTGGCGCGGCGCAGGTGCAGAGGACACTTCCCCTGTTTTGGAAAGGTTGACGGTAGCTTTCTTCAGTTTAGGAAGAAATTTATTTCAAACTTTCTCCATTTTTGGAGATAATATATCTCATATTTTCTCAATTTGAGAGAATATGTGACCAAAACATCCTTTGAATCTGGAAAATTTTATTGCAATTTTCTCCATTCTTTGCTAAGACTAATTTTGACGGAGTTACTGCGATCAAATATCGAAAGGATTCATTAATGAGATAGAATGTATTCTTCTTACTGAATGGTATTTGAGTTCCTAACAATTCTTTCAGGAATACTTTCAATAATAGACCCATATTACTTGATGCATAGAATGTGGATCATAGGAATGTGGATGAGATGATGCTCATTCTCCCTCACTCACACTCTCACCTGCTTAGCCATACTCACGTCTACACCTTACATCCGCCAACATCCACTCATCACATTCACAAATAGCAACTCTCAGTGTTTTGTTTGTCTCTATTGTTATTCTTAATCAGTGCAACGGCCGGGCCAGACATGAATGCCATCCAACATTATCGGAATTATACGTAAGCATGATCAAAATTCATTATTCAGAAATAGTTTAAGGCACCTGACGAGGTTCACTACCACCATTTTTATCGTTCTTCAGCTAGGTAGGTATAATCTATATCTTCTGCTATGCTTTTCTTGTGAATCGACCATCAGGAAGGCCTTATTCTCTTCCAAAGTGATAAGCCAGCTGATGATGTTGACAGATAACTAGGCCGTGAATCCATATATGTGTATAATGTTTATACATAGTTCGTCGTGTGATCTGGCTCAGCTTTGTCATGGCTTTGAGACTACGATAACCACAAGGTAAGTCCTCGACTGATATGAAAAAAATTACTTTTATCTAAATCCCTATCTTTGGTAAGGTTTTGATATCATTAAGAAAGATTTTTTCATATTGTTCAAATCAGCAGTTAATCACGCATCGATTAAATCATCTTTTTTCGGATTTAAATTGTCGAGAAACCAAGCTCATGTTATCGAAATTTCGTAAAAATTAACGATTTTATCGCTATTGATCAACAAAGTTTTTTTGTATTAACGAATGATCAACTCTAGTTAGCTTTCCGTAAAGAATTCTAGAGGAACTGCTTGAAAAACAGCCGAAAATGACGACACAGATTCTCAAGCGATTTAAAAGATTTTCTGACGAATCTAATGTGATAATTAGAACTACCGAAAACTTTTATAAATGACGAGAACAATGAATTTTTCTCTTTACTCTTACGTTAGTTAAAGAAAGATAATTTTTTTAACAATGAAATCGTTGATGCAATTAATTGAAATAAAAAAAATGAATATAATTTATTTTTTTAAATAATAGTTCCTGTTGAAATTGATTTTTTTTTGATTATTCTGAATAATATAGAGATTAATTCGATTAATATAAATAAGAAAGAAAATAATTTATTTTCTAAATAAATACTTGTTGTGACATTGTTCGAGAAAAAAAACTCATTTATCCCGATTTATTGATGCTATTTGAAAAATTGCTAATTAATCATAATGAATATTCCGATTTCGATTTATCAGTCAACAGTGCAAATTGATCGAAAGAGATCTAGTTTTATTTATTTTTAAATCAATTGAAAATCATCATGTTATTATCAAAACATATTCTTAAGACAGGATATCATCTCAAATATTATTTTATATAAAATATTTATACGTTTCTTTAGATCAAAAATATGAATCGAACGGCTATTTTATTGTTATTTTGTAATATGTTGATACCATGCATCGCATTCTCTGCTTCGTCAGTAATTCGAATAAATGGTAGATTGCTCGATACATCTGCTGCTCTAAGACAAGCAGCAAACATATTAAATGTAGCAGAACCTGGTACAATTTAAACTTGCTTATTTTCTATGATTTCATAATACGTTATTCATTTTAGCAAATTGGGCTAATTATATGGATCCAGTATCAACAACTGGATCAGTTGGTCAGGCTAACGTTGGAACTGGAACACTTGCTACTGCTATGGCTAGTTGGTCAATTCCAGATCAATTTCGTGAAAAAGCTGTTCAAAGCGTCAATTTATTAGTGATTGCTGCAACAGAAGGATCTTATACAGCTCAAGCATTTGTATTTTATACTCAAACTGGTGCTTCATTATCAACGTTATTAGTTGTTACACAGAAACTTGATTCTCCAAGTGATTCAAATTCGCCAGTTTCAGTTTCTTATGTAACGATTAATTCAAATGCAGCTATCAAACAACAATACACGTCTTATACTGTACGGGACTGTCATACATGTCCAAAATGTTTATGGACAAGCTCTTGTTGTTGTCACGATGAAACGAAAACTTCACCACGTGTTATTACACCAGATGAATTGAATATTATCAATCAAAAAATGAAAGCCAATCAATTTGCTTGGTTTAATCAACAAACATTGAATAAAGCAATTAAAAAACGTAATTTATTTAAATATAATTCTAATAATCAGATTATATCTTTGACTGAAGCTATTGATAAATTTCTCTCAAGTAATATTGTCAAAGCTGAAATATTAACATCATATAATGATTCAATTCTGTCAACATTACAATCTCATATTACATCATTAAAATTATCAAGTCAATCATTGAAAATGACGAAATTAGAAAGTCAAAATCTTCGTTTAGTTCTATCAACATTGACAAAAGATTATGGATTTGAAGATATCTATGATGATGCATTATTTATGGAACAATTAAAAACAGGAAGACTCTCATATGAAAATTTGTTTACTAGTTCAACTGATGTCTATAAACAAAGTCTAGCTATTAAATATATTTGGTTAATTGGTCAAACTGTTGATAATTCAACATATTCAATTAATTTTCTTTTTGTAAACATTACTTCTCAACAATTAATTAATAGACTATTATCAAATAATACAAATGCTAATGAATCTGATTATACTGTTGATTATAATAAAAAGCTAAAAGTTGTACGTACTTCAATATTAAATGATTATGGTAAATTTTTAAATGAAGATCTTTTAACATTGATTACACCATGACAATTAAAAACAACGAAAATTGCATTAAATATTTTACGTTTTGTTGCTGCTAGTACAATTATTCCGCAAAAAAATCGAATGTTATCATATTTTAATCCTAAAACAATCGCACCATCAGAACTGAATAACAACAATATTTATGCTTCTCAACCGCGGACTCTTTCAGAGAAAATTGTGGCTTTATCCAAGGCCGTTTCAGCTGCTGCCAATGCTTGGAAAGATGTTGTAACTGCATTCAAATCAAGTAGTTCTACTACAATTACACGTATTGTACGATTTGGTTTTACCTATTTTTCTCAGAAGTCAACAGTTTTAAAAGCAATTGATATATCAGCTGATAAAGCAACAGAATTTATTAATGCAGTTATTATCGATTATAATTTACCATCAAAAGGTAGTTTTATGCTTGGTTTAACATATTCATATGATTTTTCTTGGGATCGTATTGATTATCTTTATTCACCATCAAACAATAGAAATTATCGTTCTTTAACATTGTTCAAAAATGGTGATAGTTTAACCAATACTGCTTCATTTTTCATTGTTGATATCAATGCTGATTGGCAATTAGCACCTGATTTATTATTAATACAAACATCAAAAGGTTATCTAGGTGGTCTTTTCGAAAGTAACAAACAATCAATACAAGAAGTACCACATGTTTTAACTCTGGATGAAGCTGTCAAACTACAACAATTCTTTATGCTTGTGGCTATGGGCAATTTAGCTTCTACAATAGGTGCTAATGTCACTCTACCACAATTGGATTAAAACTATCAATACAAACAATATTATGCAATGAATATACTATACGGATAAACTCATTATATTTTATTGTCATATTCAAGATTTCATCACTATTTTTTTTTATATTTATTTTAATTCAAAGATAATTTTATTTTAATACAATAAACAAGATTTACAATCGAAGAAAAACATCCTTTTTCTTTTTAAATATTTTTCTATAAATTTTGTTACAAATTTTCTCATTAAACAGAAAGAACCAGATTGAGAGAAAGTATCTAGTTGAGAGTGACAGAAGATTCGTCATCACTCTCTCACCTCTATTTTGCTACAGTTATTTATGTATCATACGTATGCTATCAATAGATAAATTCACTTATTTGAATAAATCCAATAAATTCAAAACAAAAATCCCAGGAATTGCTCGACAAATATAGATGCACGACAAAAAATATAATTCTAAAGATAAGTCAGTAGAATAACCACAATTATGGATGAGTAATCTATGAACAATTGTCTAAGGAAAATTTTACACTTCGAAATTTACATTTGCAACAAACATAGATAAACCTACTAACGAGAAAAAATACTATGAAGAAAAAAGAATGCACGTATAGTAACCAAAGAAATCCTGACTAAATTGTTGTTCCCTTGATTGAAGAGAGGGTCATACGAAAAAAACACAAAATGCGTTTGTCTGTTTGTTTCTCAGGGTTAAAGATCAAAGGTAAAAAAAAAAACATCGCCTTAAAAATTCAATGGTAGACGTTTTTCTCCATCCTAAAAGGACGGAGTCTTCACAATGGAAGTTCGTATGTTTCTTCGGTGTCTGATTGGTCGAAAAATGGACCAATCAGGTTTCAGGAGCACTTTTCTCTCTTAATATGAGGACAACTGCTAGTCATGTTGGAGCCAATCCTAGGGTTATCGGGGACGCTCTATCGAATGAGCGGTATATGTGGGTGCTCCGCCTTATATATCACTGAGAAATAGATTCTTACTATGTGATTGATTGGAAAATGGGTCAATCAGATTTTAGAAGGACTTTTCCTTATTATCAGGACCATAGATGTCCATCGCGGCCGCAGTTCGATTGCGTTGATGGTAGCACCGCGATGAACATCTCTGATCAGGACAGGTGCCAGTCATGTTCGGGCCGATCCTAAGATTATCGGGGACGCTCTATCGAATGAGGAGTATATGTGCGGGCTCTGTCTTGCATATCACTGAGAAATTGAATCGCAATCTGCAATCAGGTTTTTCAAGCTGGAATTCCGGGCAATCAAGTGTTTTCGATACTGGACTTTCGGCCAATCAGATTTTTTCAAGCTGAAATTCCAGCCAACCAGGGTTTTTCGATATCGGGCGTCCCGAACCAATCAGATTGTTTCAGGCTGGGAACTCAGCCAATCAAGGGTTTTCGATATCGGGTATTCGACCAATCAGATTCTTTTAAGCTGGAATTCCACCCAGTAAGATTTTTTAGCTGACTAGCTCCCGGCCAATAATGTTTTCTGGGACAAGAAGTTCAGTCAATCAGATGTTTTCACTCTTCAACTCTTATCCAATCAGATTTTTATCAAGCTGAGAGTTCAGCCAGTGAAATGTTTCTGCTATTCCGTTTTTGTTCAATCAGATTTTTTCAGTCGGGAAGTTCAATCAATCAGAGGTGGTTGTAGTGGGGCTGTCCTGCAATCAAATGTTTCAAGACTGGGAGTTTCACAATGAAATATTAAGTCTGTCTTGTAACAGTCCAAAAGTTTCTTCTCTCTTTTTTTCAACTGGATCGATGTCTCGTGGCTATTTAACGTTAATTAAGGCAAAGTAATGTAACTGATGTTAGTCAAGTCGCATTAAATCTATTTAATAGTAACTAAGGTAACTAAACTGGTTATGCAATAAGCGAAACGTGAATCGGCTTGGTTTTTCCCTCGACTGGAGGGAAGGTCATAAGAAAAAAACTAAAATGTGTTTGTTTCTTTGTGCAGATCAAAGGTCAAAGATCAATAAAACATCGGCATAGAAAACGTTAAGGGCTATACTACCGAGGTACCCATAGGTTCTCAAGTGCACTATATAGAGGTGCTCATAGGTCCTCAGCGGCTACCATATAGAGGTACCCATAGGTCCTCAAGTACTTCATTATAAGGGTACGGATGAGTCCTCAATTGCTGTTACGCAACTGGAAATCAGTGGAGAAGTGGCAAACCAGCGAAATGCTTTTCCGCGAAGAAAGTCAGCGAATACAAGACAGCGAAAAAAATGAGCGAAAGGTTTTTCAAGCTGAGGGTAAAGGTGTAAACTGGAAGTGAGCGTGCGGATTGAGGCTGTTGAGTGAGGGTGAGGGTGAAAAGTAAGCGTTGGGTGCAGAGTGCGGGCGAAGGCGAAATGTACTTTGGCTAGTATGCATTTTGCGCTTTTTTTCGCTGAAAATTTGTTCGCTTAA